GAAGGCCAACCACCTGAGGCTCTAGTTGAAGGATCTCTCCATTGGGTGACTTTTGTTGGGATGGAAGGAGACGGTCCTATCTTTGGTATTATCTCCTTCGAGCTTGCAGATGAGGTGTTCGAAGAAATTCCGCACCCACCATGTCAACGATTTGTGTCATGGCGCTACAGTCTTTCCGTGCTCAATGGGTGTCTATCGGCTGCTAGGTTAGTTGATAATTTGCATTTTGATATCTGGGTGATGAAGCAATACCATATTAAGGAATCTTGGGTAAAACAATTCTCCTTGGATCCCTATTTTGCTGGTGGATGGCCAAGCTATCCAAGAATATTTCCCGAAGTTATATGCGCACTGAAGAATGGTGAGATTCTGTTGCAGTATGATGACAGTTCTCTGTTTTCTTTTGATCCTGTGGAAAACAGATTCAAAACTCTTCAAATGAGTGGGCTACCCAATGAGTTCCCCAATGAGTTCCAGGCACTTCCTTTTCTACCTTCTCTTTTCTCAGCAAAAGCAACCATGAATTCGCAAGTTTAACTTCTCTTTTTCTGTAAGACTCTACTACTAGTTTTTAGTTTGTGTTGAATCTTAGAACATCAATGCATCAGTAACATGAAGATTTTGCTTCAAGCTGGGTGGGAAGATTAATAAGAGTTTTATGTCCTGAAGCAAGGGATATTAATATTACTGATCATGGTTTGAAGTTAGTCGAAGATAGAGGCTGCAGGCAGGAATGAAGTTGAAGTTGTCACTCGAGGCAAGCAGAATACTGGATTAATTTCAGGTTTTGCTCTACAATTTTGTTCTTGTGCTAGATGAAGTAATTGTCATATAACTATTAATAGTTGGATATTGACTACTTTCTATATTTGAACTACTAATTCTAAGCATCATTGATAGAATAATATAAAAGAAAATTATTGTATATTTTAATTAATTTTTTTTTATATTTTTAAAATAATACAAAGACATAAAAATTAAAAGTTAAAGTATCAAAAAATATATTAAAATGAATGCCTTAATTTAATTTTAAAAATTTTTAGATATGAATTTTAGATAAAAATTTAATAAATTATATAAATAATAATTAAAAATTATTTTATCAAATTAAAATATTTAATGAAAATTTTATAAAAAATTGTTTTTAATTATTATTTATATAAATTCTCTAATTTTTATAAAAAAAATTATATTTAAAAAAATTAAAAAATGAAACTGAAATTAATTACTAAAATTGAATGAAGATGGGTAGACGCAAGATTCTATCTTTTAGCATTGCGGTTTCTTTAGGGAAAAAGAGCCGAGCTGGGCATGGCAAAGCATAGCATAGACCGGCAGGATTAAAATAAGACTTGGAAGTGGACAGAGACCTAGTCTCCTGTTAAATCTTCATTAACTCAAACTACAACGATTTGACCTTCAGAACCAATGCTTCCTTCATTATATCTTCAACGCCAGAAACTGAAAGCCTCAAAGCCATGGATTTGTGTCCTAAGAAGGGAATCCAGAGGAAGAAAGCCACCCCGCAGCAGTTCCAAGCTTTTGGTTTCCAGCCAACTCTGTTCTCAGGTAAAGGAAACCCTTGAAATGAAGGTTTAATATAATATTCACAACTCTTCCTTT